TATATATTTGACTATTTCACTCATGTCAGAATTTTCACATAATCTGACCAATCACAAGCCAAAAACCACTTGTATATTCGCGAAAACACTAGCTACCTTTCAATTCTGATTGGTCTCTCAACGTTGGTGCTTTCAACAATGTAACTATAGATACCGAAGTCTGTCAGTTTGAGATAAAATAATATCAGATGGTGATGTCAGAACTGATCGCTTTGGTTATATAGCTTCTTTATTTATAATAAAGGCTCCTTTCGCTCCGTGAAATAGTATAGCAAGATACCACTCTCTTCTGAATATCTTCTCACAATTCTGTCTCATTGTTAACGCAATTATGTTTAGCAATGCCACTTGTCAGAACAATTGCGTGAACAAAAACAGGACAGAATAAGATATTTGAAATACTCAGAAGATCGTGATATTATATACGGTTGATAATATATCTGCAAATAGTAGGCCAATATCACAAAAAAAATCTTTTGATACTAATATAGAAGTGTGGGTCTAATTTCATAGTAACATATATTAGGTGATTTCTTAAATAGATAGAAATACAGTTCTCAAAGAAATTAACGCAACTCCAGAAAGTATACCAAAAAGTTTAGGAAACATATTGGTCAAAACTACTAAACTACTTGTCTGATTTGGACGTTCTCTGTTTTGAATGACAGGTTATTCTCTTCTGATGATTGGAGTGCTAGCTGAATTCACATAAACACCTCTTTCTTCATGAATACCGGGTGTAGCGTGTTCTTTCATGAAATTTTCAATACCCTGTTGACTGCAACAGTTATGTTATCAATTTGAAATTGGCAGTACACTTTAACCTCATCTATTTCCAATATTCCTTATTTGTATTTACTCCATTATCTTTCCTGTTTCTCCAGACACAATGTTGTAGCACAACATGGTTTTATCACAGACTGATGATTGAAATTTGGGACCTGGACCAAAATGACATTAGGTCTCTTATTTTGGGTATAGGCCGTCTTTGCCAAAAAGTATTTCGTGCCCGAGGCGGTGAACTCCCTACTGACCCTTCCGTTCAACTTGTGACTCCGCATTCAATTTCATTTTTTCGTAATCAAATTGGCATTATAAGCACAAAAGTAGTTTGCTATGGTCTGGGAAGGCATTTCTGTGACTGGTCGCATCGGAGTTGTTATCATAAATGGAAGCCTTACCGCTAAAAAGTCTGAGGATGTTTGTTGATGCAAGATAAGGCTAGGCCTCACCTCATCCGAGTTGTGAGAAATTATCTAGATTAAGTCTGTATCGCTACCATGGCAAGACCAGCTCGGAGCCCGGATTCAAATCCCATTGAGAATCTCTGCAACATTCTTGGCTTGGGACAAGATTACAAGAGGAAAGTTACTTGAATTCTTTAAAAAACGAACGGCACAGACTGATGATTCAAATTTAGAAAGATCTGGACGAACATAAGATTAGGTCTCTTATTTGGGTATAGGTCGCTACTGACCCTTCTGTTTAAGTTGTGACTCCACATTCTGTTCCATGTTTTCGTAATTGAATTGGCATTATAAGCAGAAAAGTAGCATGCTATGGTTTGGGAGGCATTTCTTTGGCTGATCGCATCGAAGTTGTTATCATAAATGGAAGCCTTACCGCTGAAAAGTCTGAGGATGTTTGTTGATGCAAGGTAATGCTAGGCCTCAACTCAACCGAGTTGTGAGAAATTATCTAGAGTGAGTCTGTATCGCTACCATGGCAAGACCAGCTCGGAGCCCGAATTCAAATCCCATTGAGAATCTCTGGAATATTATTGGGACAAGATTACAAAAGGAACGTGACTTGAATACTTTGGAAAACGCACGGCACAGACTGATGATTCAAATTTGGATGGACCTGGAACAACATGGCATTAGGTCTCTTATTTTGGGTATAGACCGTCTTTGCTAAGTAGTTTTTCCTGTCCGCGGCAGAAAACTCGCTACTGACCCTTTCGTTTAACTTGTGACTTCGCATTCTGTTTCATTTTTTCGTAATTTGATTTGAATATTGATTTTCCATAAAATCATGTTACGCTATGGAGTGGTGTTTCTCGAGTAATAGGAAAGATAATGGGCGGAATCCGAAAAAGAAATGTTGAAAAAAGATCAAGTTTCAAGTGTGATTTCCATTCTAAGACGTTTGTGTAACTAATACACTGTACAGGGTATTACAAATTTCATGAAAAAAACGCGCTGTCATTGCTAAATCCGGTATGTATAAAAAAGAGGTTCTAATGCGAATACAGTTTGCACACCAATATGTTCAGAAGGAAGTAAACTGTCATTCAAAACAAGAAACGTCTAAATCGGCCAAGTTGTTTCGACGAAAATGTTGAGTAAACTTTTGGCTACTTCTTCTTGGAGAAGTGCAGCACAAAAACCAAAATTCCGGTCAATATCGAATCTCATAACGCCTGAAAAAATTTGATGATGGTTTCACTGAAAATGACAGCAATTATCTGGAATTCGACAGCCAATCAATTCTGGAGAATGTAATATTTGGAAAATGATGTGTTCATTGCTGAGAACTGTAAATACAATGGCATTGATCTTTGAAAATGAGTGACATTAACAATGAAATCTGGTCGTTCTGACTGTTAGTTCCAGGCGTTATACATGTAAGATATCTAGATATCCTACTTATTTCGTCTTGATTCCATATTAACAAATATAATTTAGAGCTGTTCCCTTTAGAAAATCACCCTGTAGGATGTGTGGAATGCTTTGTCATACATTTAGCGCTGGGGAATATATTGATTATTATCGAGGTAATGTTTTGGGTACTAAAGGCTATTAAACCATGTAGGTAATATTTTTAGATACTGATCGCATTTTTTGATTATATGTTCAAAAGGAGTTCCTGAACACCCAGGTCATACCTATATACCGAAAAAGTATTTGAAGAATCAAAACTGTCACAGTACCAGAACGGAGAAACAGTAAGTAAAACTACAATGCTATACAAAAAGTATGATTGTGGAAGCTTCAAATGTGTTATAATAGGTATGTTATCACTTCCAGATCCAATAATTCATGGATTCATCAGAAGCTCAGATAAGTATATCAGAGAAGTATAAGTTCCATATGACTAACTATAAGGAGCTTTCCAGAATCTCTAAAATATTACTGATTATTATGTAGCTAGCAGACAACGATTGAGTCAATTGAATCTTCTGAAATTTGGAGAATGGACTGTGTTCCTGTATTCATTGTCATTTTTCCTGTATATATTATCTGCGGATGGAAATGTTACAAAATATGAATACTTAGTCCTCAATTCTCTATTTCCATTGAATTTCTCAATTGATTTTCATTTCAATTCGACCAATTGACACTTTCGACAGAATTATCTTGATGTTATACTATTATCGGATTCAAAATTCATGTTTACTCTAGCATTATTGAAAATTGATTCAATTCCACATGGGTTAGACATCTTGCATTGTTAGGTTGGCTAAATGTGAGTAAAATCGACGTCAATGTCAAAATTATTCTGCTGTTTCTTCATCACTTCAAAACCCGTACAATTGTTAGCAATTGGAGATAGGAGGAAAAACAACTTCTTGGACACTTCGTATTTCCAATTAGTTATAAATTGACAGTTATAAATGACATCAACAATAGACATTGCATTCGCCAAATGACGCTGTCTATGAATAGCACAAACTGTCTGACCCTTTTCAAGTGAAATATGATGAACTAATAACCGCGAGCTCTCTGACGAAACGAGAGCTTGAAATACTGAATTCAATGAGAATTCAACAGAATATGTGTCAGGAGAACCCTATAATTCTTTTACAAGTAATTAATCATTCCTAGTAGAACCGTCTATGTATAAACTATGGAACTTCTCTCATAATATTCTCCTTGCAGTCAAGAATCCGATCGATATAGATCATCCTGCATAGGGTTATGCTCTCAATATTCTCACAAGCATTTTATTTCAGATCAGTAGTATATTTTGATAAATATCTATATTATCATAATCATATAATGGCAGCTTTGATGCACAACTGATGAATCTTCAACTCACTCACTATTTATTTTTTCTCCCTGATAGGAGGGATCTATTTCAATGCTTCAACAGTAGAAATATAGTTCCACTATATTCCTTGCATAAATTGCAGAAATGATATGTGCAGATCACTAGTTTATGTTGATTGCACTACTTTGAAGACTAAATGGAAGAAATACAGAGCCTCTCAAAGTGTTTCCCATACCTATATCTGTTCAAATACCTTTTTTGTTTGTGTTCCATATCTTAGATTTGGCATACTCATCAGTTGAATTATCTAATAATGTTCAAAATTAGATGAAAGTTTTATGAAGTCAAGGGTCCCAGTTGCTGGATTGATACGTCACAAAATAAAAGTATTCATTGGGAAGAACTTCCAGAAGTTTCCTTGCACTGAATGAATAACGATTCAGCGCAGCTGATTTTGAAATTCAACAATAAAGCCTTAGCCGCCATTTTCTGAAACAATCTATGAATAATGAATCCATAAAACCTGTATGAAAGCATTGGAGGAAACAAGATATTTATTCTGTATGAATCTCGATATGAATGCAAAACTAAAGAAACAAAAATAATTTCATTATCAACTATCTAGTCCACTCTTGTATACCTGGAGAACCAATCAATCCAGTATCACAGTGATATTTTTTTTGTTGACTAGAAATTATCGGACTTGCTCTACCGATACAGAAGCCGAATCGACCTCCACGTGACCAACCAATCTTGTTTCTCAGCATTGAAACGTCACAACGTCAACAACGTGTAATTAGTATTATACTTTGCTGCTCCATCCTCGTAGATCAGTGGTAGTTTCCATTCAATCGTTCAAGATCACACGATATTCGAAGTGTAGACAAAAACTTGTTCTCCTTATCAGTAACTTACTCACGCTTCGGAAGCGGCCGATAGCCTCATTCCAAATATTTCGTGCAAGCGGCACGGTATTCGTTTATAGTGTGAATTTTAGTGAAGTTAAAATGAAGAGAAAAAGTGCTGCAGACTTATCGAAAATCAGGAAGAAACTTAGAAAATTACAAAAATTAGTGGATGATGTGGATCTGAGTAAGTATTATCGATTTTAGCAACTAATTAAAAGTTTTTCATTTTACTGAAAATTTTGAATGAGCGATGATATATAGCTGAAAAAATATATATATATTTTTTTTTTCTTTTTGATCATATGGAGGTCCCTGTAATGCAGTGGACTTTTCATACCATATACCGAGTCTTATACCAAACTCACGTAAGATTAAATTTACTGTGATGAAGAAGAACAATACGTGAACCAAATGAACGCCCTGTAATGCAGTGGATGTTTCATTATAAATATGTTCCCTGTAATGCAGTGGAATTTTGTATGTTGGCTTGAAAGCGTTTTCTAGCCGTTTCGCCATGCGTGATGCTTGTTAAAATGTACCTATTGGTTCTTCGGAAACATTTTCAATTAAAAATGTTTTGTAGGCTCTGAACGATCTGTATCATCGTCTGAATCAGACATGTCTTCGGGACAAGAAAACAATGCAGATTCAATAATGCATGCATCTGGATCGGAATCTCCCCTGGATCCGAGTTCTGGAACGAATCCTCCTCCACGGACGGAGGTGGTGACGACTGCACAGGTTCACGTTTCTGCGGAACCACCTGTGTCCATCGATCCGGAGATACTACAATTATTAGGCGAGGATCCATCGAACCCCATACAAGCAGGAGTGCCAATACCGGAGGAGTTAACGAAAAGGTGGTCAGTATATTGTTCTTCTGGACTAGATAAAGATACAAAAACTCAAATTAGGGACCATTGGCCTCTCGCTCCGAACTGTCCAGCCCTGGCTGGACCAAAGCTTAATAATGAAGTTGCACCATTGCTTAAAGATGCGGCTATGAAACAAGATGCCTTCATACGTAATCTCCAAGATAGAGTTGGATCTGCAATGAGTGCTCTTGGGGTAGCAATCAATCTTCTTATGTTAGGAAATTGTGAACAGAAAAACGATATAATATCCCCCCTTGCTGATTGCGGAAAATTCTTGGGTGAGGTTCATTTTTCACTTGCCAACCATAGACGGTTTAACATTCTTCCGAATGTGGACCCAAACATGAAAAAGGTTTTGGAGGCCAGCAAAGTGGACACAACTCTATTCGGTAGTGACCTACCTGAGAGGTTGAGAATTGCCCAGGAGGAGGCAAAATCAACCCAAAAAATCAGAATAAAAATCAAACCGTTACAAAATCCGAATTTTTTTCACGACCGCAACAACCCGAGGGCGAGAATGAAATACAGCGCTCCTCCCCCACCACAACGGACGGCAACATCAGGACGAGCACCAGCTGTGCGTGCACTCCCAATGAGGACAGCAGGCCAAGGAAAGAATCCACAGAATCACAGATCGAACCAGAGACAACAACAGAACCAATGGAGGAGATAGAGGTAAACTATGCTGGCAGATTTTCTTCATTTTATTCAAATTGGTCAAAACTGACACAAAATCGAACCATTCTCGATTGGGTGCAAGGGTTTAAAATACCTTTCATCGAGAGACCTCGTCAGAAACAAATTCCGAGGATTAGGCGGTTTTCAAATGCCGAGTTGAAAGTTTGCTCGAAGGAGTTGAAAAAACTTCAAGAAATTGGCGCGGTTTCCAAATGTAATTATGTGAAAGGTCAATTTTTGTCGTCGTATTTCTGTGTGAAAAAGTCAAACAACTCTTATCGCTTTGTTTTAAATCTAAAACATCTTAACCAATTTGTGAAAACAGAACATTTCAAAATGGAATCTATCAAATCTGTTGAAAATTCAATCTATCAGGGAGCCTTTCTGGCATCCATAGATTTGACAGATGCCTATCTCATGCTTCCTATAGCTAAAAAATACAAAAAATATCTAAGGTTTATCTTCAAGAATATTACTTATGAATTCAATTGTCTACCTTTTGGACTAAATGTAGCACCTTATGTTTTCACGAAACTTATGAAACCGATCATCATGAGTCTGAGAAGTCAAGGTTTTATTTCCATAAACTATTTGGACGACTTCCTTCTCATAGGAAACTCCTTTCAGGATTGTATACATAATGTGACAGAAACAAAGAAACTACTGTGTTCTCTAGGCTTCATTATAAATTGGGAAAAAAGCATACCTACTCCCTCATCCTCATGTCAGTTTCTCGGGTTCATTTTTAATACTTCTGATATGTCAATCACTTTACCAAAAGATAAAATACAAAGAGTAATGAGAGAATTGAAAAACATTAGTATAATCAAGAAATGTAAGATCCGATACTTTGCAAGAATTATCGGATTACTAGTGTCCATCTGTCCAGCTGTTAAATATGGTTGGCTGCACTTAAAAAATTTAGAAAAGGTCAAAACCTCAATGTTAACAGCCAACAAGAAGAATTATGACACATCAATGCAAATTCCTGATTCCATTTTACCAGATATCCTCTGGTGGTTAGATAAATTACCATCTAGTGTGTATTATTTGGATACCAAGAAAGTATTCCAAATGGAAATATTCTCTGATGCATCAGGCACTGGGTGGGGGGCATCATGTAATGGTATACAAACTCGAGGATTCTGGTCAGACCAGGAAATAGGTATCCACATTAATAAACTCGAGTTATTGGCTGCTTTTTATGCCCTCAGGGCATTTGCCAAAGAAATTTGTGATTGTAGTATTTTGATGAGGATTGATAATACCACTGCCATAGCGTATATAAACAAAATGGGGGGGACGAGAGGATCAGAGTTAAATCAAATAACAAGGCAGATCTGGGACTGGTGTGAAGCAAAAAATCTTTTTATATATGCATCTTTTATAGCTTCTAGAGAAAATTATTTAGCAGACAAGGAGTCGAGGCATGAGTCTTATGATTCTGAGTATAGCTCAAATATTATAGATTTTACAAAAGTTATAAAAGCTTTAGGGACCCCGGAAATAGATTTGTTTGCTACTTATATGAACAATAAGTGTAATCGGTTTGTTTCCTGGAAGCCAGATCCAAGATCGGAAGTTGTGGATGCCTTTACTATACAATGGAAAGAATATTTTTATGCCTTCCCCCCTTTTGCATTGATATCAAGAACAATAAACAAAATAATTTCAGAAAGGTCGGAGGGTATAGTGATTGTACCTCTGTGGAAAACGCAGCCTTGGTACCCACTTTTCATCAAACTTTTATCAGACCGACCAGTAATACTTTGTCCCAGAATTGACCTCATTGTTTCTCCCTGCAGAGAACCACACCCTCTATGGCAGCGACTTACCCTGGTTGCAGGCAGAGTCTCAGGAAGACTTTTTTGTCAAGGGGAATACCAGAGGAAGTCATCAACACCATGATCTCATCTCTTAGTTCAGCGACATTGAAGCAGTATAATACAGTATATAAAAAATGGTGGGAGTTTTGCCAGGAACAGGACTGGGACCCATATAAACAGGAAGTAGTTTGTATTCTAAAGTTTTTAGAAGACAGATTCAGAAAACAAGATTCCTACAGTTCAATATGTTTGTATAGATCAGCTTTATCATTATTGTTTCCAAAGAGTAAGAACAATGAGGTTATTAGTAGGTACATTAAGGGCGTATTCAAACTCAGGCCCACTTTTCCGAAATATCAACATATTTGGGATCCAAACCCAGTTCTTGATGCACTCAGTACTTGGTTTCCTCTGGAAAACCTCTCTATAGAAAAATTGACTAGAAAACTCGTTACATTATTAGCCTTAGTCACCGCTCATAGGGTGCAGACATTATCAATGATTAAAATCAGTAATATTAGGAACGTTGGTGACACAGTAGTAATAGAAATAACTGATTTGATTAAAACATCTCGGCCTAACGTTCCACAACCTATAATTGCCTTAAAATACTTTACACAAAGGCCAGAATTATGTGTGGCATCTACATTGCAATTTTATATCAACAGTACAAAGAAGTCGAGAAATGACAATGAATATTTATTCCTCACTTTTAAAAGACCGCACAGAAGAGCATCTCGCGAAACGATTAGCAACTGGATTAGAACTACATTAGGTGAATGTGGTGTTGACATCGACAAATTTAAGGGTCATTCGACAAGACATTCATCTACTTCTGCCGCATTACGCTTGGGAGTAAATATTGATAAAATAAAGTCTGTAGCAGGTTGGTCGAAAAATTCCGAATGTTTTGCGAGATTCTACAACCGACCTCTTGAAAGAAACCACAATAGTTTCGAAGATATTCTTTTAAATAATTGAGCCAAAATCGGACGTCTTCGATGTAGATATTTGTTGCCTTATGTTATATTACATTGAAATGATTGGAATTGTTATTATTAGTTTTGTTATAGTAGAATATATGGATGCGAAATGGAATATCCTAATATTTTCCTGTATTGTTTAGTTCAGATACTGTCGTTTCTTATTACCGTGTTGAAATATATATTTAGAGTTCAGATCGTCTATTTCTCTGAACATCTACCACTGATCTACGAGGATGGAGCAGCAAAGTATAATTCAAGGATTAAACGACTTACCTGTAGGAAGTTCAATCCGAATTATACGAGCTGCTCCATCCTCGTAGATCAGTCCCACCCAGATGCCCCATGAATTCACCCCTATATACGATCTGAACATTCTCAATATTTGGAATGAGGCTATCGGCCGCTTCCGAAGCGTGAGTAAGTTACTGATAAGGAGAACAAGTTTTTGTCTACACTTCGAATATCGTGTGATCTTGAACGATTGAATGGAAACTACCACTGATCTACGAGGATGGAGCAGCTCGTATAATTCGGATTGAACTTCCTACAGGTAAGTCGTTTAATCCTTGAATTAAATTTTGAGGGCACGGATGTATATATTATCATTCATTGTCTGATCCGATTATGAAATATTCATACGAATACAACTCGTGATATTATTTTTACACGAAATATCCGTTGATTCATAAACTTCATCTTGCTGCTTCAATTTCGTTCATTAAATTACAAAGTTTCTCGCCTACGGCTCCAAAATTTTGGAATCGCTGGATATTTCTGGCAATAGTATCACTCGTGGTATTACATATTACATATATATTTTAGCGCGATATTTTTTGTGAATTGAATTTTATCGGACTTGCTCTACCAATACAGAAGCCGAATTGACTCACACGTGACCAACAAACCTCGTTTATCAGCGATAAAATTTTGGCATCGTGTCGGGTCAAGATTGCTCTGTATTCAAATCTGAGACAATAACCTAAGTACCTACTTTATTCTATTTACGTATAATTCGCGTTAGTGAGACATTTTGTACGAAAGGCGAGACAATTTTATTCTGGCTGGACGTTTCTTGTGTAATTTGAAAAGTTTGCATATTTGTTGACGGTCTAACACAACAATACTAGAATTCCACATCCTGTTTGAAGTAATCTTCTTCAATCACTCAAGTTATTGTGACTAGTATAATTACCAGATCATGTGGCGCAACTGATAGGGTTGTGATATATTTTTTTTTATCTATTTCATGTCACATAAATTCAACTCATTTTGTTTGAATTGGATAGCAATTGTATACACTCTTTTGAGAGCAACCATCTCCAAGATAATAAAAAAATAATGTTTATCAAAATTGTACATTCCACTTTGTGAATAACTATAAGTAGGTAGTTAATTTCTAAAAAATTGAATTCTGTATTTCATCACTATCATTATGTTCTTCTTCGCAGTTCGAGTCGAAATATACTTAAATTATGTTTCCTATTTCTCATATATATTGTCTCATTCAATCATGAAATAGTCATACGAATACAACCCGTGATACTATTTTTCCTGGCAATATTCGTCGATTGACATACTCCAGCTGGCTGCTCTAATTTCGCTCATGACATTGATAACAATGTCATTCACGAAATTACTAGGCAACAAGCTGTCGTAACAATCACCGAATATTTTCGGCAAAATATTATCACTTGTGGTATCACATATGAATATGTTATATTCATTTTTCACTTGTGTATATTCTACCATGATATAATGCCACTGGATTGAGTACAACGAACTAGAAACACGCTAAACGCTTTGGGTGTCATGTCAGTTATCCAGAATATTTGCGTTAATCGCGGCAATTATAAAATGTCTTCCATAATGATAATTTCAGCGGCGCAAGTTAGTTAAATATTATGACACTCCGATATCCAGATCGAAGATTTGGTGAGTGAGACTAGCGAGAGAATACTTACTGTTTAGTTACTACTATAGTATAGTGTATTGTTTCAAACAGTAATGAACTTTATGCTCTTGGTCACGGTGTTGACGTTTCATAATATTTGATAGGTACCAGAGAAACATCTCTAGGGCAACTACCGTGATTAGTACAGATACAGCTGTCGACAGCTTTCAGAAAATTGATGAAGATGCAACAGAAAAATCATGTGAAGAATTATTCGAACAAGAAGCGTAGACAACCTATGATTTTTTATATCTCCTTGATGTAGAGTTCTTAGACACTGAATTTGTGTGATTGAGGTGGCCACAATCAGTTCCAAAATATGAAATGCAGGTCGAATTCTGACCATGAAGATATACTTCATCATGTTCAATAACGTACCGTGAGAACTATGAATCCATTGTTCAGAGTAAGAGGAGGAAAAGAAGATCTTAATTGAGAATTGAGAATCAGCTTTTCAATGTTTGAGAATAATTAAAACCTCCTCTCCTATCCTGGATTCATTTATGTATATTAGCTATCGAAAAGACAAGGCGGTAAAACTATTGACGAAGTCTGTATCTCTTCCATTTAGTTCTGCTGTAGAGTTCTTCAGTATACTGATCGATTGTCGATCTAAATGAAAACATAGTAGGCGACCTATTGCACGAGGACGACTAACTACCTAACTAGGATGTCATCTAGAACGACAATGACTGATCGGAGTATAGAACGTTTGGCAATGCTCACGTCATATACGTAGACATGTTTATTTGAGTATGATCGTCAAGATATAATCTCGGTTGCAGCATCAAAAAGTAGTTAATTTTAAAGATATTTCCATACATCTTGAATACCTATAACAGAATGAAATGCATGTGAGAATGATGAATGCATCACCCGTATTCTGACCGAAATCTAGCATATATACATATTATAGTTGTTTCCAAAGAGATTGTAATACAAATGATCATTGTCTATTAGTATCTGTAGGGCCTTACTCCAAAAAAGTACTGTGCTTCTGTAACTAACTAGGTGTGCTGGCATGCTTAGTTGTTGTTGCAGATCTAAATGTTCCCAATATCATTAATATTTTCGAAACGTAACATTGAAATAAATGATCGAAAAACAAGAAGAGCAGCCAAATGCGATGCCAAAATATGGGATCATGCATATGCAGAAATTGAGGATCAGAGGTAAAAAAGTGTGTGGACTATCATAAAACAGAAGGAAAGTGAGAGTATTTGTACGAATGGGCAAGCCATCAAACTTTTGGTCGAAAAGTCCAAAAAGATAAATGGACACATTCCCAAAAGTGGTCTTCATTATGCTGAAACACGACGATGCTGCATAGATCGAGAATGCATGTCGAAACAGAACACTCTTGAATTTCAATGTATCAGTTAAATTTCATGAGTTGTATCAGTATACAATATCTTCCAATAATTTATTCCTCCAGATTTTGGTGGATATTCTCTCCTCGTTCTATGAACTGGAAATATGAGTATTATTCCAATATGCGTTCAGTGAGGACAAATTAGAAAGAAACGAGGAGAGGAAATCCCCAAAAATATACAAAAAATGAATTTAACACTAGTTCATAGGTTGGGGATCTAGAACTGAAATTTACAAAATGCATATTCCGAGACATGCCGCTAGCGCCGCCATATTGCCAAGATGGCGCCCTAAGACGGTGTTTTTCCAATATCTCTGAAATTGTGCGTTTGCCGAAAAAATTAGTCGATCAAAAATTGAAGAGAAAAAGATGTCTTCCAAGAAATGTTCCTAGTATATTTTTGCTAAAGTGAGTGGGTGTCCAGAAGTAGTTGAATAATAGGGTTGGAGGAAAACACAAACTGGCACCACGGACTACTCGCCAAGCTTTCGTCTTATGGCTTGCCTCCCCAACCATGTTCTCTGCTAGCTAGTTTTCTCTCAAACAGGTCTCTCCATGTAGTGGTCGACGGAGTTTCATCTGACTCTCTTATCATCAATGCTGGTGTCCCGCAAGGATTAATTCTAGCACCAACACTATTCTCACTCCATATCAACGATTTGTTGAAAGCAACTCCATGTCCAGTATATAGATTCGCGGATGATAGTACCCTTCATACCGCCTCCTCTTCCAGGGCTCCAATTCCAGCCAGGCAAATCAGAAACGAACGAGGGAGAAATGTTGACAACATAAATATTGACTTAGCAACAATTATCGAATTGGGATCCAATAACTTGGTAGATTTCAATGCAAACAAAATACAAGCATGCCTTTTCTCTAGAAAAGCCGATCTCACTGTGCCCAACATAAGCTTGTCAGGAGTAACCATACCTTTGAAAACATCCATTTCGATGCTTGGGATCACTATCAGCAATAACCTTTCCTGGGAAAATCACGTGAGATCAATTGCTAAAAGTGCATCCCAAAAACTTGGTTTTCTGTTTCGGGCCAGGAGCTATTTCACTTCCAGTCAGCTGCTTATGATCTATAAGGCACATATCCGACCTGTTCTGGAATACTGTTCCCATATTTGGAGTGCAGCACCCAAACATACCCTGAAACTGTTGGATTCTGTCCAAAAAAGGGCAAGTCGTCTCGTGGGTGATGCTTCGCTCACAAACTCACTCTCTTTTCTGGGACACCGTAGTAAAGTTGGCGATCTGGCTCTATTTTATAGATTTCTTCTTCTCTGAACATTACAGGATATCCCTTTTCGTGGGAACCAGAACATGAAAAAAAACACCAGTAACTACTTCAAAGGATCCTGCTTTCAAAAGTTATTCAAAAGTTCACGGAATTTGTTTTCATTCAATCAGCTCTTGAGCCTAAACGGGTCTTCTGCTTCATTCTTTCTCCCGACATATTTTTCCGGAAAACGACAATTTTGGATATTGTAATGGCAAAATCTCTTTTTGGGTGTCATCTTGACAAGATGGCGGCGCTGGCGGCATGTCTAAGAATTATCATTTTGTGAAAGCCAGATCTGGACATCCAAACCTACAAAGTTTCGAAACTTCCGGACTTATTTCCAGGTAAGCCTTATTTTTTATTCCCATAATGACTGAACTATATA